GTCCCCTCTTGCTGCTGTATGTCTGCACCTTCTATTTTGTGCCACAGTATCTCTCTTCTTTCTGTAGAATGTCCACTGTGAACTTCTCCCCAACTCTCTCCTGGGAATGCACTTCCTCTATTTTTCTTCTATTATCTTCCAGTGGTCAAAATCAGCACACGTTTTCCCTATTCAGCCATATTGAAATCTCCCAATTTAGATATTTCTAAACTGCTTTGATGTTCATTTTATTGGCCAAATTTTCGTGTTGCCAATGTTTGTGTTCTTGATTCTCTCTTGGTTGTTGCTCAGAGACACCCTTCCCATTCTGTGCATGCTAAAATAATGATAAATATAAAAATAAATATTAAAATGATGCCATGAGTGACTCCAAATATATAGTTGAAATTCAGTCATCCTGTATGTATATAAGTAAATCAATGGAAACTGTTATTTTTGCTTCTTAACCTAAATGTTACTATAATTTCACATAAAGCCTCTTTATTCCACAAGCTTCATACATGGTAAGTCTTTAATTAACATAGGTCAAATGACTGTTTTGTAAATAGATTAATTAATATATGGCATCTGTAGTCCCCTTTCTCTTATAGGTAGCTTTAGAGAAGCACTGAATAATAAATATTCTTTGGCAGAAAAAAGAATCATAGACAAATCAATGCATGCCATGAACCAGTCTATTCTATGCCTCACTTCAGAGAACTTAAGTAAATGGGTAGTTTATGAAGTTGGAGACAAAATAATTAAGCAACCTTCATTTTAAAATATTTGGTTTAATTAAATGTTACTGTAGCTATAGTTCTCAATCAGTATATCTTAACTGGAGACATTCAAGTAGTCCAAATTCTACTGTGGGGAATACTTTGAAAGGTGTGAGAGATTTCTGAGGACCTTGAATTATCATTATCCACAGAATATTTCATGCTGATAAATGGATATGTTAGTAATATTATTTAAACTTATTTAGTATGTTCTACTTCACTGTTGATGACATTGCCACAGAGCCAATAAGATCCTGTTCTTGGCACAGAATATGTATGTGTGCTGAAATTGAAAGCAACGTCTCCTTTTTATTTATGGTTCTTACAGCATCTTTTGTTCTTTCTACCAAAATGTTGCCACTATGTCTAGCAGTTGATTGAACCAAAGCTATGATCTCTCCGCAGTGATGGACACAACTAAAATTCTTTACATTGTTTTTTTACATGCTGTGCTGGAACTACTACTATTTAGAGTAGACACAAGACTGGTGATAGAATTTAAAGTAATTGAAAGGATTTCCTACTCTGAAACACAATGATGTCAATGATGTCATACAGCTAAACACACCAACTAGCATTACAAAAAGCACTGGAAAAAAATCTTGCCTTTTTAAAGGCTTTCCATTCAAGAAGATATTCCTGTTGAGAGGTGGCTGGTCTGGGGAGGGTTAATACCTCAAGCCACCAATGAGTATTAACACCCCAGCCAAAATTATTTCAGCCAGTGCTTTCCCCTATGGGACTTTCTAGTGAAGTGCAAAGCCCTGAAAGAAGGCAAGGCAGAATAAATACCACTGATGGGATACTAGGCAGGGCCAAGAGCATTATGAAAGCTGGCCAGGCGGAGGCATTGTGAAGACTGTCTATCTAGTTTGCAATTATGCTGGGAATTGGCCAGGCTCTCAAGATTGTCCTAGGCCTCTCAGAAGGAGGATGTATGAGTCACATCTTAAACATAAGTTTTAAAAACACAAAATTGTCTGTTTCCTAGGCTAAGACTTTCCAGGTTGCTAAATAAGAACTTGGATTTCATTTGCACAGCAAAATAGGAACAAAGTTTGGTGGAGAGCCGAGGCACTCAGGCATGTGCCTAAGGATGCCAGGGCTGTATTGAATGAATGAAGAGGAGAATAAATCAACTCGACTAAGTAATTTTGGCCAAAGGACATTTTTTTCTCTGCACAAAGAATTGATGTGAAATATTAGTTAGCCTGAATAATGTGGAAAATTAATTCCTTCTGTTTTCCACTTAATTTGTCAACGTATATGAGGCCTGAGGGTGTGTACACTTAGAGTCTCCATGATACAGTTTGGATGTCTTCCTTGATCAAAGTCTCTGAATAATTACTCAACTCCCCAACTCCTTTTTTTAGATTTATTTGTTTTACTTGAAAGTGATAGTTACACAGAGAGAGGAGAGGCAGAAAGAGAGAGAGAGATAGAGAGAGGTCTCCATCCGCTGGGTCACTCCCCACATGGCCACAATGGCTGGAGCTGTGCTGATCCAAAGCCAGGAGCGAGAAGCTTCTTCCAGGTCTCCCATATGGGTGCAGAGGCCCTAGGACTTAGGCCACCCTCCACTGCTTTCCCAGGCCATAGCACAAAGCTGGATTGGAAGTGGAGCAGCCGGGTCTCGAACCAGCACCTAAATGGGATGCTGGGACTACAGGTGGTGGCTTTACCTGCTATGCCACAGTGCCGGCCCCTCTCCAACTCCTTTTAACTTCATGTTCAGCTCCTCTACTCCTCCTGGTAACTGTGATAACACTGGAGATCTTTCTTGTAGATTCTATTCTAATCAAGGAAAGTATGAGTCAAAACATTTCTATTCACTTAGACTTTTTCAGGAATTGTCAGGCCAATACTCCTTGTTTCTTAAAGACAATGTTAATTCTATTTTTTTAAGATTTTATTTATTTATTTGAAAAGCAGCATCACGGAGAAGCAGGGTGGGGGGAAGAGAGAGAGAGAGAGAGAGAGAGGGCTTCCATCCGCTGGTTCACTCCCTAACTGGCTGCAACGGCTGGAGCTGTGCCTATCTGAAGCCAGGAGCAGTGAGTTCCTCTCAGTCTCCATGCACGTGCAGGGGCCCAAGGACTTGGGCCATCTTCTGCTGCTTTCCCAGGACATAGCAGAGAGCTGGATCAGAAGTGGAGCAGCTGGGACTTGAGCCCATGCCCATATAGGATGCTGGCACTGCAAATGGCTTTACCCACTATGCTATTGCACAGGCCCCGACTATGTTTTTGTTTTAAAGATTTTATTTATTTATTTGAGAGGTAGAGTTAAAGACGGTCACAGGGAGAGAAAGGTCTTCCATTGGTTCACTCCCCAGGTAGCTGCAATGGCCCGAGCTGCGCCCATCCATAGTTAGGAACCAGGTGCCTCTTCCTGGTCTCCCATGCAGGTGCAGGGACCCAAGCACTTGGACCATCCTCCACTGCCTTCCCAGGCCATAGCAGAGAGCTGGATCTGAACAGTGGCAGCCAGGTGGAAGAACTGGTGCCCATATGGGACGCCCGCGCTGCAGGTAGAGGATTAACCTACTGTGCCACAGAGCTGGCCCCCCGACTATGCTAATTTTTCACATCAACATTAACCTTTCCATTTGGGGGACAGGCTATGCTCTGTGTTCTAGAATGGAGATTACTGAGGTCTTCTTAGATTAGAAACATTGAGAGCTCTTCTTTTGCTTAGTGGGGTATGTAAGCTGAGGGAAACTACTGGGTGGAGACATCCCTCCTTACAATAAACAGAATTTTTAGAGGGGATAGACAATAAATTTTTAGAAACAGTGAAGTTATTGGAGTAGTTGAGTAACTCTGAGTACAGAAATATCTGAATGACATTTTATAAAATGCAATGTAACTTTAAAAATTTGTAGAAAAGCTGAATTAGAAGAACGTTTGTGGGCAAACCTAGTAGATTGGATGTTCACATCCACATTATTGTGCCTCTGCTTGAGTCCTAGCTTTGCACCTGATTCCAGCTTCTTGCTGATGCAAACTCCAGGGGACAACAGTTTGATGACTCAAGTAATTGCGTTCCTGCTGCCCATGTGGGAGATTGGAATTGAGTTCTTGGATCCCATCTCTGACACTGGACCAGCCCTGAATACCATGGACATTTGGGTAGTGAACTAGCAAATAGAAGCTCATTCTCTCTCTCTCTCTCTCTCTCTCTCTCTCTCTCCCCCCCTTCTCTCTCTCCTTCTCCTTCTCTCTCCTTCTGTCTCCTCATACTCCTCAATTAAAATTTTAAAAACTGCTTCTTTTGGTGTAAAACAATTTTGAATTCAATGAATAGATTTTTCATAATATACATTTCCACAAGCTTTCTGAAGACCCTGAAAGTTTGTTAATACCCCACCATCCATTCTGCTCAATGTGTCTTGAACTTGGAACTGTCATAATGTTAAAGTATTGAGGTCTTCCACAGCAAGGACATTCTTTAGCAAAGAGGCTTCAATGTGGGCGGTGTTGACAATTGGGTTGCACGTACCATTTACTTTTGCTCTATGTCATCATATCCTCCTCCACATGCCCCTCTAGTGGTTCACGTGTTATATATATATTTGTAGCTCCATTGTACTTTGTACAATTACTCTCAAAACTGTGACTATCTGGTGGATTTTTAGCAAAAATAAATCTCCATTATTAAGATAAAGACTCTAAATGAAGTTAATTTATATGGAGATGATGAAGTCGTGCTTTCAAAGTTGTATTTTACATGTTGCTTTTTACGTGTGGTAGGTGCTCAATAAAAATGTCTTTATAAAGGTTAACTAATGAGCAGGACTTTGATTTCAACCAAGAAACTCTTACCTGTGTTTCATTTGCCAGTGCCACTGTGTATACAAACCATGCAGATCATTCACTGCCCAATTCCAGATGGCGCCATTGTCAAGGACTATGAAGTAAGTGATGTCTCCAGAGATAGCATTCACTGTACAACAGCAACAATGGAAGATGAGACTTTACTGCAATCTATTTTCTCCACCAAAAATGGGTGAGGGCTACCATGAAGAGTAAGGTACTAAAAGACTTAATAGACATTTATTTCTGTCTCTTTCTACTCAGGTCTGTATTTGATTTACCAGTAATACTGCATCTACTACCTGTCCAATGCTGGAGAAGACACTAAGAGAGTGCAAATTAATTATTATGTGCCAGCTCCATACTCCAGGAAGTAGATAACATTGAAGCAGTTATTAAAAGTAATAGTCTTAAGTTTATTATTTTTTTACTCTTAAAATTAAGACTCATTTTATTTATTTGAAATCCAAACACACACATAGACACACACATAGACAAACAAACATAGAGACATCTTCCATCTGCTGGATTACTGCCTAAAGGCCTGTAACAACTGAAGATGGGCCAGGACAATGCCAGAAGTGAGGAACTCCATCTGCATCTCTCACAGGGTTGACAGAGACCTGCGAATTTTAGTTATTTTCCACTGCCTCCCATGGTGTGCATAAGCAGGAAGCTGAATTGGAAGTGGAGTTGGGTCTTGCACCATGGTACGTACTCTGATATGGTATGCGGGTGTCTCAAGAGGCAGCTTAACCCGTGCACCCAAATATCTGTCTCTCCTGGGTTTTTGTTGTAAGGTATTCCAGACACTTCTTGTAGCTCCATCAATATTTAGGAATTTTTGTTCATTTTCAAGATATTTCTTTCATATGGAGTATCCTGGAACAGTGATGCATGGATGCAGGTACACATGAATATCTGTAAGGATACAGGAAGTAAAATATTTCTTTCTAAGCATTTCAGTCGGTGAAAGAAAATAAACTTTGATGATATTTCTATATAGATTTCTGGTTGTTCCCTTTAGCCTGTCTGGTTATTTGTCACATTGAGTTACATGGTTGAGGTGTTCCAAGGGAAAGGGAGAACTTATGGTCCTTAGAGGGGATGATGGAGACCTCCTCAGTCCTTCACTGCCTTTCACCATACTGTTATGGATTGCAATTTACATCTTTCTAGTTATGTGATTTCAGGAACTTTTAATATTAATCAATCTAAGTCTCACAAAGTGTACATTATGCTTAACATGGTTCCAGAAATGTAGTTGCAGAGTGAAGATTCTATCAATGATGCACACTTAGAAATCCTCAAGACTACTTCTTGATCTTCTTCAGATACATGAACAACAGGAAAAGGCTAATAATATATAAGTAATGGTTCTAAATTTTAAAGTCATAAGTGACTTTAAAATATGGCTTTATTTCTAAAGCCATTAACAAAGAGCCTTATTCTAAGCCTAGCTTGTCCATTGAGAGACTAACAACTGCTCATACATATGTGAAAATGAATCATCTACAACATGAAATCAAGCCTCTATAATTTTCAACAATAATTGAAATAAAGTGCCACACAAAATTTCTCTTGAAGTCCTTGTAAATAATAAATACATAAATGAATAAATAAATGCATACAAATAAATCTACATGTATTGAAATTGCATGCTCAAGATTTTTTTCATACTCTATTTTGTTTTCAAGCAAATCTTCAGTTCTCTCTCCCTTATGTGTGATAAGGCGTGTTTAACAAACAACATTACTTAGGCCACTTTTAATCCTGGTTACCCCCTCTGTAATAATGTTCCATTATGACTTTTTAATCTTGCACATTAAGGACTTTCATTAAAGCGAGCTCAGGTTAGCATTTTTTAACCTGCTCTAAAAATGTTAACATGAGCCACAGTGGGCTACCAGCTCAATAATCTTCCAATTGTCCCAAGCTCCAAATGGCCCATTGAGGCTCTATTTGTTCCAGTCTATTGGTTAAATATGTATTTGTGTGGTTTTTTAAAACACTTAATTATTTACCTGAGAGGCCCTAACAGCTGGTCTGCTAGGTAAAGGCAATAGGAGACAGTTGAACATTAGACCCATTCAATTTAAATACATTTTAAAAAATGAAAACAAATTAAAACGAAAAATCTCTTGCCTTTATTTCCATTCCCTTCTACTGTGTAAACATAGATTGAAAGCACATGCTCTGAATATTAAGATCTGTTAAAAGAAGTACCTGTAGAAAATCATATTTGCTCATGCTGAGGGTCAGTGACCATATCTAAGCTATACTGTTTCAATCTTATTTCATTATTTCCTCTTATTTTTTAATGTCTAAAGTATTTCCATCATATTAAGGGGTCATTTCAAACCTATAGAAACTAATTTTTGAGTTCAATATTTTTTTTTTTACATTTTTATTTGTTTTCTTGAGAGGTAGGGCTACAGATAGAAAGAGGGAGAGAGAAAGGTTTTCCATTCTGTTGGTTCATTCCCAAAATTGCTGCAATGGCCAGAGCTGAACTGATCTGAAGCCAGGAGTCAGGAGCTTCTTCTGGATTTCCAACATGGGTGCAGGGATCTAAGCACTTGGGCCATCTTCTACTGCTTTTCTACCCATCGCATTGAGCTGGATCAGAAGAGAAGCAGCTGAGGTAAGAACCGGCACCCATAAGGGATGCCTGCGTCCCAGGCCCACTATGCCACAGCACTAAACCCTGAGTCAAATAGTTTCAATTAATTTTTTATGTGTACTGATAAAACTACGACAATCTAATAACAAATACCATCTCTTATATTCCTGAATGTATGTAGTCAATACGTTCACTATAGACACTTAATTTATCCAGTAATCACTCTTCAAACTCCTGAAAGAACTTAGATTTTCATATTAATCCAAACATACCCATGGACAAAGGTAACAACTGCATGTCCTACAGATATTATATTGAAATCCTTAAATATCTTCAAAAGTTAACTGTTAGAAACAAGTACCTTGAAGAAAGTATTCCTTAAGAACTTAAGTAAGCAATATGCTATGATGAAAATTCCTTAGCTGTGCTGAAATGGTAAGAATAAATGGGTTAATTGTCAGTGTTTAAAACAACTCTGATTTTAAGTTCCTTGAAATGTACAATGATTATTTCATATGTTTCGTTGGTTCTCCTGAAATATAAACTATGTGTATGCAATGACAATACATGTGGCTTATCTTAAACATTTGATTGACAGAACACAAGAGTGTTACATATCCTGCATCTACTTTGAATCTAAAAGTTGTAAATAAGGTTACCAAAACATTAAGTAGAATATGCTCCAGAATTTCCTTACCTTGACATCTGGGCCTTCTTGGAAAACTTGAAGGTAAGCCTGAATTTAAAATTCGAAGGCTCCATTAATCTCTGTGCTTGATCCTGGAGGCGTGGGGAAGGTGATCTCCATGGGCCTCTCATCTCACCTGCATTTTCTTCTCATTCTCAGTCCTAAGCTGTAAGAGAATACTCCAGTCAACGTGCCTGACCTTTGGGAAAGTTCCCCATTAAGTGGCCTTCAACTATCCAGCAGGTCTAGAATTACAGACACCCAAGATCTAGCCAGCTTTGGAAAGAACAAACCTCAGAAAAAGTCCGTGCAGTCCCTAGACATGGACTCAGAAACATTTCAAAGAGGAATTACATGGGTCTCCAGAATCCAGATAGTTTACAAAAGGGAGACTACCTCAGACTTGTGGATTCCCTGTTCTTGCCCAAGTTGAAGGTACTCATTATTTATTTGTATCTCTCATAGTGCTTAGTGTGCTTAGCACAGAGTCTTGTAAAGTACTGTTGCATAAATTGATTGCTTGATGATTATTTGGTTAAGGTTAAGTGAACTTTGACATTTATTTATTTATAATAACCACCACTTATAAAAGTGAAACCCATGGGGCTGACGCTGTGGCATAGCTGGTAAAGTTGCTGCCTGCAGTGCCTGCAACCCATATGGGCACCAGTTCAAGTCCCGGCTACTCCACTTCCGATCCAGCTCTCTGCTATGGCCTGAGAAAGCAGTAAAAGATGACCCCAAGTTCTTGAGCCCCTGCTCCTGCATGGGAGACCCAGAAGAAACTCCTGGCTCCTGGCTCCTGGCACAATTCCAGCCGTTGCAGCCATCTGGGGAGTGAATCATCGGATGGACAACCTCTCTCTCTCTCTCTCTCTCTGCCTCTGCCTCTCTGTAACTCTTACTTTCAGATAAATAAAATAAATCTTTTAAAAAAAAGTGAAACCCATGAGATAAGGCTTGTATTGATTATTTTCTCTATAATCATTTAATAAAATGGCTAATTCTCTTTATCTTACTGTTAGATTTTGCCCTCAAAACATGGTTTACTTTCAGAATAGCATTGAAAATTTCATGTAGCAAATATACATAGTAACTCAAAGTCTTCCAAGTTCTAAGTTGCTAGTAAGCCAGATTCTTTGGGTACTTTGCATGGCTACTTGGACAGCCAGAAGAGTTAGAGTGACTTCAACACTCACTGACTGATGGCTTCTCTGAGGTAGCTGCTACCATGTGATTATAATGTCAGTTCTTTTAGATCTTTGTATAGGCAGATTTCCAAGAGGATGAAAATATCCATTAAACCATGAAATCACCATTGAAAATGTTACTTGATTTCATCATATGTTTTTCCAAAGAGCAGTGGGGGTGGGGGACCAATTTCAAACTTGATCATTCCTTTCTGTTTTGTCTAGCATCTACCTTGGACATTTTGCAAAAACATTTTTTTAAATGTGATTTGCAATTTTGGACATTGGATGCTTCCTGTAAGAAATCACGAACATTTTTTTGAGCCCAATTTTCTGTGTTCCTACTTTTACTCAATCTTGGTCAAAGCCCAGAATGAGGGATGTGAGAAACTCTAAAATTCAAACTCCTTTACATAAAAGTTAAAACAGATTATTCAAAAGCAAAAATGGGTTGCTTTGAATTTAATATTTTAAATAAATATTTGAATTTTAATGTTTCATATTATTAGCACATTATAGATATATTGTAGATAAATTAGTAAAACATTCCATTTCCAGGAATCTCAAATGAATGATGAATTACAATTCTGTTTATATTTCTAAGCCTGGTACCAAGACAAAGGCCAAATCAGAAAATCACACCTGTGGAGTGCCTAGAAGGTGCTACATAGAGAACTGTACTATCACCATAAATGGTTTGAATAGAAGAGAAATACATGAAAAAAGAACTAAAAAATGATATTTGTTTCTTTGAGCCAACTAGATTATATTAGTCACTCACTCTAGTAAGTTGTTATGCTTCAAGTTGAACCCTGTCATATTCCAATTTATCTAAAAAAAAAGACCTAATATAATAGCACTTAAGTAAAAACTCCTATTTTGACTAGATATGTTAGTGCATTGATATTCTCTTTGAGTCTCATTCCTGTGTGAAATGAAAGATTTGTATTCAAAAATACTTAAATTTTCTAATGGCTCTAATACTATTGCAACCTCTTTGTTCAATAATATTAAGTTTTAAAGTAGGAATATGCATAAATGTGATGCATTTGTTATCTATTTTTCTCCACTAAAGAATATTAGCAATATTCATTTTATGCATAATATTGTTGAAGAGTCTTTAGTGATATGCAAGATAAAACTTCCATAGGATAAAAAAATGACTCTCAGACCTTTTAGAAAATGTATAACTGCTATTGGTATTACATTTTTTTTTATTACCACAAGTCAACTCTCCCTTGTTTAAGTGGCTTTGCATGCATCTCACTTTCTCATCAGTCTCAGCAACATAACAATAGGTAACCCCTGGCATCTGAAAGAAACATTTCTTTCTTTCTTTCTCTCATCAGCTCAAGAAGCTCAAACATTGGACCATTTTCACACAACTCCCGCAGGGATGCTGCAAGAAACAGGAGAATAAGACTGTTTTGTCTTCTGTTGCCTGCAAGTGTGGCAAATTCTTTTCTGGCAAAGAAAATGAGTGGAAAGATAAGTGAAATGTCAGGATAACTTGCTGCTGTTTAACTGAGGTTATCTGTTGAGAAAGAGAAAGAGAGAGAGAGAGAGAGAGCAAATGAGAGAGAGAAAGCACATGCATTCACTTGCTCTGAGACTTTGCTAAAGTTTATATAAACCTGTATGCAGTTATTCTACTGCTTAGTTAAAGCTGTTGCTGATATGCGTTTCCAGCATAGGAATGGAAGGAAATTTTACTCTTATTTGACTTCAGAACAGAATGCATTTTAGAGTTTCCAAGTCATTAGAGAACGTACTTGGTGGAGGTGGCCCACTCTTGCTCTGAAATCAAGAATACTCTCTGCCTCTTGACCCAACCACATTTAAGTTGATGATTCCCCACAGAAGTGATGAGATGTGACTGCAAATGAGGGCAAAGAATGCAACAGCGTTACAGCCCATACCCACCTTCTTTCATATCTCAAACCCTTTCCTAGAAAATAAAGCTGTCATCTTAAAGAATTCACTGCTGAGGTGTCTTCCAAGTGTTTTTTTTTTTTTTTTTACATGAGTCCTAGGAAAGACTAATGTACCATATTCTCAAAATAATTTGATTCTTCTCTGAACAAAATTTCCCTTTTATGAATATGAAATTTTGGTTTTAAATTAAGCAAATTAAAAACAATGTTCAATTTGTTATCCATAAAAAAGACAGAAATGAAGTTTCCTCTTGTGGCCCTGTATACAAGTATGTTACATGGAGACCACAAGAAGGGATTTCTCACTTTCAAAGTTCTTACTCACAGAATTTCTCTATTTACTGAAGTGCAAATTACATGTTATTAAACTTTGTGTTGTGGCATTATTTGGAGAAGATAGGTTTTGATAAAATGCAATCTTGTTACTATGCTAATAATTTATTTTTTTAAGATTTTTTTAACTTTTATTTAATGAATATAAATTTCCAAAGTACAGCTTATGGATTACAATGGCTTCCCCCGCATAACGTCCCTCCCACCCGCAACCCTCCCCTTTCCCACTCCCTCTCCCCTTCCATTCACATCAAGATTCATTTTCAATTCTCTTTATATACAGAAGATCAGCTTAGTATACATTAAGTAAAGATTTCAACAGTTTGCTCCCACACAGAAACATAAAGTGAAAAATACTGTTTGAGTACTAGTTATAGCATTAAATCTCAATGTACAGCACACTAAGGACAAAGATCCTACATGAGGAGTAAGTGCACAGTGACTCCTGTTGTTGACTTAACAAATTGACACTCTTGTTTATGGCATCAGTAATCACCCTAGGCTCTTGTCATGAGCTGCCAAGGCTATGGAAGCCCCCTGAGTTCACCGACTCTGATCATATTTAGACAAGGCCATGGTCAAAGTGGAAGTTCTCTCTTCCCTTCAGAGAAAGGTACCTCCTTCTTTGATGACCCGTTCTTTCCACTGGGATCTCACTCATGGAGATCTTTCATTTAGGTGGTGTTTTTTTTTGTTTTTTTGTTTTTTGTTTTTTTTTTTTTTTTGGCCAGAGTGTCTTGGCTTTCCATGCTTGAAATAGTCTCATGGGCTTTTCAGCTGGATCCGTATGCCTTAAGGGTTGATTCTGAGGCCAGAGTGCTGTTTAGGACATCTGCCATTCTAAGGGTCTGCTGTGTATCTCACTTCCCATGTTGGATCGTTCTCTCCCTTTTGTATTCTATCAGCTAGTATTTGCAGACACTATTGTTTATGTGATCCCTTTGGTTCTTAGTCCTATCATTATGATCAATTGTGAACATAAATTGATCACTGGGACTAGTGAGATGGCATTGGTACATGCCACCTCGATGGGATTGAATTGGAATCCCCTGGTATGTTTCTAACTCTACCGTTGGAGGTAAGTCAGCTTGAGCATGTCCCAAATTGCACATCTCTTCAATTCATTCATGACTACCTTTAGCATACATGGGCAAATTATCATGGATATGCTAACAATATGGATACTGTATACACTAACAATATGGATACTGTATACTTACCAAGGATAACCAATTCAAACAAAAGAATTGAATCTACCTAACAAACACTGGACATATTGGGAGACTCAAGTCTGTCAACAAGGGAATAGAGGCAAATCCCAATGTGGACAGAATTGGTAGGATGTAGAAGAAAGTGTTAATAGTATCCTAAATCGTAACACATCAAAGAACGCAAAAGACACTGTAAGCTCAGTTTTGAAGACAGAGGGTTTAGTGTTATTTCAAGTCTACAGAGAAGTGAAATTCTGTCATAAATAAGATTAGATTTTCTCATTCTGAAAACAGATGAAGCATGGTTTGCATGATTTACATTATTGGTTAGGGAATTCCACGTAAGGCAGTATTCAAGTAGAACCAAAAGGATATTAATTAAAGGTAAACTGGAGGGTCACACACTTTATAGAGAGTCTGGGCCAGACATTTCATTCAGTTATTAATGTTGCCACATGATAGACTCATGTCTTATATCAGGCTGTCTGTTCCAGTACT